TGTAGAGAAAATCAGATTACTATGTAGATGGAGGAATGGCCTCTGTGCTGCAAAAAAAAAAATTTAAAAAATGGGGAAATGGAGGCATAGAAGAATGTTTCAAGGTTTTAATGGTCATCAGGTGGCTGATCTGAGACAGGTCACGAGAGTCCCTCTGCCTTACCAAGAAGGTAAGCGTGTCTGAGGGAAGAGCTGGCCTTCCTTCTTGTGGCATCTCATTCAGGATCCTTCTCTCCCAGGAAGCCTGCACTTGGTGTGCCTGAGTTTTCCTGTGTCTCCATGGCCTTCAGAATTTATCAGGTCTGAGGGCTACACTCTCCCAGGGGGTAACAGCCAGGGCACAAAAGGTGGGAAAGCCTGGAAGTGGAGTCTGGGAGGTGAGGGGTTCCTGGGATCTTGGTGTTATTCCCCAGCCGACCTGACTTAGCACTGCCCCTCGTCTACCCTACCGAGGGCAGCACAGTGGCCCCGGTGGCAGAAGCAAGGTCACTGCTCACCATCCTTTGCCAGGCACAGTGCCCGTTTTTGCTTCCTAAGATCAATAGGCAGGAGAAAGGATGAAGCACAGCCTTTGACCTGGGCAGTGTTCCTGAATGGGCGGTCTGTTGCTTTGAGGAGATCTGGAGGCCTCTCTAGAGAGAGCGAAGCCTTTATAATGCCTGTGTGCGCGCGCGCTGGGAGTGGACAGAGGGGTGGCAAGAAAAGTTTCTCTAGACCAAGTGATACAGGGTCTCATTCTAGTCAGCAACTCCCAGACATGCTCTGTGGGGCTTGGTATCCTGCAAGGGACTTTCTAAGTCCAAGATTCCCATATTCTGTGACGGGACCTGTGATTCATTCAGCCATTCACAGAGCAAACAAACTTCCATTGAACAGCTGCTATGAGCCAGGCCCTGTACTGGGTGACAGGAGTACAGGAGTGGGTGAGTAACTCCTGTGAGGACTCCCTCCTTCCTGGGAGGTGTGTTGTGTAATTTACATTGACTTGTGGAGGAAGGAAACCAGAAAGGACCCAACCAACAGGAAAACAAGCCCCAAGATGCCAAATGGCTGCATTTACTGTTTCCGAGGGACTGTCGGTGAGACCCTGGACTTTCAGAGGCTTCATGCAAACAATCCCCCACCGTTGGTCAATGGGATGCCCTTCTGTGCTGGAGAATACGAAAGAGGGGCCCAGTGGACACTTGGGGGTGGGGAAGGATTGGAGGTCTTCCTCCTGGGGAGAGGGAGCTAATGGCTCTCTTCACCCGACAGCCCCCAGACCCTCATCTTTGCCTCTGGATTTCTCCTCCTCCCCCTGCCATCCATCTCTGGTCCCATAACTGAGAGACTTCGTGGGAATATTCGGGAATTAGGTGCTAGGATAGGGTAGAGTTTCGTAGGGCTAGAGATCTAGCAGCCGTCGCTGACCCTCCACCGGCTGAATCACTCTCCTCTAAAACGAACAAAATGTGTCACCACGCCTGTGTATGCGCAACAAGAACATTTTCTCTCCTGACATATTTCAGAAACAAGGTTTCCCATCTCTCCCAGGAGCCCGTGTTCCTGTGGTTCTCTCTCCTCGCTCCTCAGAACTCGCAGAAACTCTCCCGGTGGCCAAGTGAAGGGAGTATCTGAGGTCAGGGACGTGGCTGCTGGTCTGGACGGAGGCAGCTGCTCTAGGGCCCGGGGTGTATTAGGCCTCGGTCCCCCATGCTCCCCGTCTTGTAACTGCGGGGTGGGTTCATTCAGTGTGCGATGTCTCTGCCTGCCAGCGTGACCTCTACCCCCCGTGCGCAGCGAGCGGTCCCCGGAGCGCCGGGTGGGCCACGGGGCGGGGGGGTGGGGGGGCGTGCCACGCTCCATAGCGCCCCTGAGCGCCGAGGCCCCTTCCCAGCACTGGGACGCCGCGGGCACGCGCCCAGCCGGCTCCCCGCCCAGAGACGCGAGCGCGCGCACGGGCCGGCAGCAGCTGGGAGTTGGGCCCTCGAGGCCAACGGGGCGGCGGAGGTTGGCTGGTCCGGGGTCCGTCGGGGCCGCGGTTCAGCAGCCGGGTAGCCGGCGGTTCCGTGTACCGCGGCTTTGGGTCGAACCCAAAGGACGGACAGCCTGGGCTTCTACTGCGGACGGTGTCGGTGCCGCTGGGTCGCATTCCCCGGTGCGCTGCGGTCGGGGGGCTGGCTAGGAGGGGAGCGGTGGGGTCCTCTGCCTCCAATGGCGCGGCTGCGGCTGGGTGTCCGCTGGCGCTTCCCCCACTGCCGTTCCTTCCACCGCGCTTATTGGGCGTTAACCGGGTGCCAGGCAGCGCTGGGTGCTGGAGCTATGAATTGGGCGATACGAGTAGCTTCCCGGCTGGGGGTGGGGACGAGGGGCGGAGACTCAGTAGGGTCTGCCGCGCTGAGGAAAGCCGCGGGAGGGGCTTCCAAACCCGAGCGGGAGGGAGGGCTTCCTGGAGGAGGGGTCCTCCAGGGAAAATCGATGGAGACAGACCAGTGCATTCCAGGCGAGGTGAATGTGTGTGTGGCCGAAAGACGCGGTCTCCCTCCGTATGCGATTAGCAAAGCTGGGCCATCGACAGCTAAAAGAATCATAGTTTTATTTTTTTAAGAATCTGGTATTGGAGTATTTGAGATCTTGCTTCCCAGCAATTGTCATCAGTTTTGGCTCAAATAAGCTCTTATAAATTTTTTAAAAAAATAATTCTGGTATTTTGGAAGAAGGTATTGACGTAGTCATTATGGGAAGAATCGGAACTTTGTTGGACTTCTTTACACTTATTTTCCGGTTTTGTACTGTTTTTGTAAAATATATATTTTTATTGATTTCAGAGAGGACGGGAGGGGGAGAGACAGAAACATCAATGATGAGAGAGAACCACCCATGGGTCGCCTCCCGCACGCCCCTCACTGAGGATCAAGCCCGCAATCCGGGAATGTGCCCTTTGACTGGAATCGAACCAGGGACCTTCAGTCCGCAGGCCAACGCTCTACCCACTGAGCCAAACCAGCTAGGGCCTGTTTTTGTGTTTTAATTACGTGTGCGTGGTGGTGGGGGGAGGTGGGGCCTGTTTTCTGAGCCTGCTGGGGCTGTGGCACAGTGGCAGCCTTCCAAACCGCTGAAGGCTGAGGGAGGGACATTGTTAAGACCTGCCATCCGTAAAGCGGGTGCGTGTTGAGGGCTGGACAGCAGCTCTGCTTCTCCGGACTGTTTCCCAGGCCAGTCTGAGCGCCCACGTGTCGGTACCTTAACCTGGAGGAGGAGTTTCTTGCCCGCCTTACCCCCGCCCCAGGTGGAGGCTGTCAGGAGTCTCTGGGCCTAGCGCTCCAGCTTCTGATCATTCCTCTGCATCCCCCCCCCCCCGCCCCCCCAAGCAGGGGCTGTTCTCCGGCTTCAGCTCCCTCCCTCCATCCGGAGGCCCACAGGCTGTCTTCCATAGCCCAGCAGCCTTTGCTATCACTAACAACAGTATTTATTGAACCCCCAGTGGGGAAAGGAACATTTCATCTTTAACACGATTCTGGCATAATATTATTAAATATAGGAACTCTGTGTCCTAGAGGAGTTAACTAGCTCAGCCCCAGGTAGTAAGTGGCAGACCTGGATGTGAACCCTGCACCCACGTGCCTAGCAGCTCTTGGCTCTCCCTTAGGTCCAGAGCACTGGCTGAAAAGCCCTGAAAGTGCCTTTGCAGTGGCTAAGCCCCTCTGCATGGCAAAGAAGCTCCATCTCCAGGTTCTGCTCAGCCCACACTGGGGCTGGCCTGGCCTAGGGAGCTTTATAGAGAAGGCAGGTTGCAGCTCGGGAAGTCATTTATGCAAAGAATCTGAGCTGGGGGTCAGTCAGTGGCTTCCCAGACCTGGAGAACTGCTGGACACTGCCACTCAGGATCACCCAAGGAAAGCCAATCCCCAGCCAATCTTGCACCCCTCTCCCCTCTGCATCCCACCCTCCACGGTGGTCAGTACCTGGCTGTTCCACAGCACCAGATGGGAGATGAAGGGCCTAGGCCTGCGGTTCTCAACCTGTGGGTCGAGACCCCTTTGGGGGTTGAACGACCCTTTCACAGGGGTCACCTAAGACCATCGGAAAACACATATAATTACATATTGTTTTTGTGATGAATCACTATGCTTTAATTATGTTCAATTTGTAACAATGAAAATACATCCTGAATATCAGATATTTACATTACGATTCATAACAGTAGCAAAATTACAGTTATGAAGTAGCAACGAAAATAATTTTATGGTTGGGGGTCACCACAACACGAGGAACTGTATTAAAGGGTCGCGGCATTAGGAAGGTTGAGAACCACTGGCCTAGGCTGTCCTCTGCTCAAATCCCTGCTCTCTAGGGCCCAGGGAGCCCACTGCTGCCAATAGTCAGGTAGGGCAGTGATAGGGAGTTGGAGTACACCTCTTTGGACTAAGCTGCTGGGTGAACGCAGTGACCTGCCTCTTCCAACACTAGAGGCAGGCTAGGACTGGGCACCTCCCACTTTCCCATCGCTAAAGGGGAGAAATGTGCTACCGAGGGAGAACAAGGTCAGGAAGATCTGAGACACAGCCTAGCCTCAGGCAGTGGGTGTCAGAAGCCCTTGCACATCTTCCTGGCTTGAGGCATTTCCTCCAGGGTCACACGGGTGCCCTGGGCTCCCCCTTCACAAGAAAACAGGATAGCAAAGAAACTGCTCCCAGGCCAACTGAAAGCTGGACAGACCACATGCTCACTGAGGTTAGTGCATCAGGAGCCTACCCAGTTCTGTCCAAGCGCCGTGTATCTTCCAAGGTAGGAAGTAAATCAGGCCAACTGAAGGTCACTCTGGCTCTAGACAACTGCCATACCAAAGAGGCTTCTGGGCAACCAGGCTGCTAAAGAGCTGAAAACAGCCACTTTCATTTTGGGGGCAAGTAGGACTAAGAGAAAGGAGAGAAAGCAAAAGAGAGGCTCTCATGGATTTTCAAAACACGACTTTGAGAGTTGCCACTCAGGATGCAATCTGTGGACTAAATCTGATCCTCTTGTTAAAACGGCATAAAATTTATTTACAAATATCTGTACAGTTTGTGTGACAGGTCAGGATTTCACAACAGAAACAAAGAAAACAAAAGCATTATTTTTCAAGGGAAGTTGCAGGCGTAGACTTTCCCTGCACCTGTCAGAAGCAAGACAGACAAACAGACCTATACATCATGAGTTAGGCATATGGACACTGGCCTTTTTGCTTCTTGGAAGGAAGTGAAAAATGTATAAAACAGCCTTAGGTACTGCACCCATCAACACTGAAACCACATTGTGGGGGGTAGGGGTGGGGTGTGGAGCAGGGAGGCCCTGCAGCAATTTCCCAGCACAAGAAAACAAGAAATACTGTGAACCACCAAGAAGCCCAGCTGATTCTATAATTTCATGTCTTATGCCTGGGTAGGATTTCAGTTCCGAGGCCCTGCCTCAGTTGAGACTGGAGCCAAGTCCTCAGTCTTGATTGCAATCACCAAGTAGGCTACTCAGTGATGAGTTAACTTTCGGTCTTCTTTGGTTGGCTTTTCTCCCTGCTATTTTGGCGTCTCAGAACGAAAGTTTCAGCAGCTGCATGTGGGGAGGTAGTGGTGAAGTGGCTACAGTGTGATGCAGTTTTAATAAAAATTTTATTACACAGCCATAATGTAATTGACACTTCTCCAAAATCCAAATGATATTAAATACAGGTCTACATGGTGAATCAGAATGACTCCAGCAAATTCTATGGATTCTATAATTTCATGTCTTTTAAAACCAGGAAAGAGAAAAAAGTCCAAGTCAGTCATGATAGGAGAGGTCCCAGCAGCCTCCGGGACTCTGCTGGAGTTCAGGCAACATTTAACAGTCTGTGATTCCACATTTATACAATAGTCTATAAAGGGTTCCGGTCAATGGACTATTCAAGTATATATGATTTTAATGAGTCCATCACCACTCCTTTGCCCAACTGAACTGTGTCACAGCTACCACATAGCTGTGTTACAGTTATATTTATCAATTTTACAGTCACAATACTTTTTAAAAACCATTCATTACTGCATTTTTTAAAATAAAAAAGTGTAAACTAAGTTAAAGCAATGCTGAGGCTCTACTAAACCCAGAAGAGTTATTAGCAAGTTCATTTTTATGTTTAAATACAACTTAACTCCATGATTTCCCATCACCCCACGTCCTTAAAGAACAGTAGAGAAGAAATACAAAGCAGAGCTTCTAGCTAGATTTCCTCTCGCTCTCATGGGAATCAGCAGCTCTCAGCTGTTTCTTTAGCTTAGTTCTTGGTATATATAGTCAGCTGTACTTTGTTCTGAAAAGATTTGTTAAATGCCACTTTTATTTACACTTGGAGCTTTACACCTGAGAATGATTATCAAGCAGTCAGCTTATCTCTTTTCAAACATTTCATAAAGACATACACACTTCTTTGCTGGCTTCACCCTAGCTGCACAATATATATATGTATACACACACACATATATATATGTATACACACACACAAAACTGCACATGCTTGTAACATTTGCAATCTAAATCTTTTTGTGTTCTTTCTCTCCACATCATGTTAAATACTTTCTCTTAAAAACAAAATATTATTCTTACTGAAAGAGCAAAACAGAATCACTAGAAAGATACAAGTACATGGGGTGGGAAAAGATTCCCCCTACGCTCAGGCAAGAAGCTGTGTTCTGTACCCATGGGATGAGCAAGACACCTGCACTGCCCTCCCTGGGACTTGGCCGTGGGCTTCCCTCCCACCTGCCAGGACACAGACTATAGGGAAGGGGCCAAACTGGGGAGTTTTCTTCGAGGTGGGGAGGTGATGAGGAAGAGGAGGTGGGGAAGGGGAGTTACACAGCTACAGCAGTCAGGCCTGTTTATTAAGAAGAATCACATTTAATGAGTTTCTTTCTTGCAGTTTCAGATGCTCCAGTACAGCTGAAAAAAATCTGAAACAGCTATAGACCCATGACAGACTGATACAAAGAGTACTGCATTTTTAAAAAATGATAAAAAAATCCACACACTTGCACACACACACACACACACACACACACACACACACACACACACACACTCTCTCTCTCAAATAGACACCCCTCCCTCCCCACAAATGTACACTTTTTGGAAACTAAATTGATTTTGAAAACCCCTCTTCCACAGAGATGGGAAGAAGAGTAAGATGAGGAGAGAGGATGGAGGACTGTAGGTGCCCAGAACCCACTCCCTCCACCAGGGCCAGGTTCCAAATGTTCAATGTTTGGATTCAAGGCAATCCAGAGAGGAGACTGCCCAGTGCTGCTGCTATCACCACCAGGGGCTCCAGCAAGAATCCCAGCTTCACGGTAATACTGAATGCGTGCAGAGTGGCCAATGAACTGTGCTGGTTTAAAAAAAAATAAGGCAAACACAAATCTAAAGACATGGATAAAGCCCAAGAGAGCCCAGGTCCACACTGGGTGAGGCCTGGAGGTGGGAGAGTTGATGGAAGATGGTGCAGACAAGGGAAGTCTATACAGCAAATGGTTTATATTACAGATGACTGGCAGTTTAGAGTCTCTTCCCAGTTTCTACTGCTGCTCCAGCCCAAAGAGGGCACAAAAAGGAGAGGAAAGGTGGGACACTGATGGGCATGCAGGGTCAGAAGCAGCAGGCTGGGTGAGCTCAAATAAGCCCCCGTCGCTTTTTGTAGTCTTCCAAGTTCAGAGATCTCCTGGGAGCCCCATCCTTGGCTGGTGGAGCCTTGGAGGTGATGGCCAAAGCCTTTGATTCTATGAGAAAGAAGAGCAAATTGGCAGCTGAAGAACCTACAAAGTAGTGCTTTACTCCTTCGGGTAGCCTTCCTGCATGTCCCTATTCCCTCTCAAAACCTCTATACCTGCAGCCTCTATAAATACTGAGGAGCAGAACCCCCATTTCTTCCCTAAATCAGGCTGCCTTGCGGGCCAAGAGGGCCATGGAGCTATCTGGTCCTTGGCCATTACCACTCCCCACCCTCACCTACCTGAGCTGGGAACTTGTAAATCAATCTTCACATCAAAATCATGTACTTTGAACAAGTCTTCTGAGAGGTCACTGGCTGACTTAGAATTCAAATCTTTATCCTTTCCTTGACCCTGCAATGTGAAGAGAAAAACTAATTAGAAAAGCATAAATGTAAGTGGACTTCAAGCAGCACTAATGGTAAAAGCTCTTGCTCAAGTTTATTAGATCTTCCTACTAAGGCTCTTTTCTGATTCCTTTTCTCAGGACAGGAGGCCACAGACAAAGAGGTTTTTTTTCTGAAGCTTAAAAGCAAAGAGGAGAGGGCAGGCTCATGCCTATGGTGTGAGGGTAGAAAGATAGGCATAAGACAAACCAACCTTCTGACCCAAGATTTCAGGAATTCCTGGTAGTTTGGGCTCTACAGGACAAGATCTAACTTAGGCAGAAAAGTAGTTCTCTTTCGGGCAGTCCTCAGTTTAGATTTTCAGTTTTCAAAGAGCTTTCACTTTCATCATTGTCTGATCCTTATATGTCATATGCTCCTCCTAATTTTCCTGTGAGGTAGGCAGGGTATAAGTATTATACCCATTGTACATAAGAGAAAAGTGGATCAGAGGACTAGATGTCAGGTGCCTAAAGCCACAGTGAAAGCCTTAGTTAAGAAGTGGTGCTGGGTTAGAATTTAAGTTATCTGACCAAAGTTCAGCAGCTGTTTTCCACATCTGTACATAACTGGGATGGAGAAAGGATGGTCAGCGGGACTTCAGGTTCCTCCAGATGGGAAAATCAAGTCCAAACTAGGCCAGGTTCTGCCTGGTGTCCAGGCCTGCAGCCTCACTCCACAGGCACAGGGGAGGCAGTGCTGCACTCACCTTGCTCATTTCCTTTGGAGCATCTGGTAACACTCCAGAACCATACTTTGCATTCAGCTGGGCCAAGATGGCAGCTTGAACAGCTGGGTCTCTGGACTGAGAGAGGAAAATAAGATTGTTCAACACTAGGACAGTCCTACTGAGATTCTTTCCCATCTAACACGATTAACATCACAATCACCACAGTGGTCCCATCAGCAGCTTAGTGGGGTTTTCCTCAAGGCAGCAAAAAGCTTTGAAGCCACGCCCAGTCTAGCCAGCTCTAGATGGGTGACCCAGCCTACACATTTCTAATGTCTGTGGCACAGGGCAGTTTAGTCCATAGGTTTCTATAAATCTATGCCAGGCTTTTACCACTTGGACATCCTATAGCAAGATTAAAAAAAGAAGTATCCAGACCCAAGAGTTTGAGGCAAGCAAATCCCAATAAGACATTATTTTTAACTTCTTTATTAATCTCCTAATGCAGTGGTCGGCAAACCGTGGCTCGTGAGCCACATGCGGCTCTTTGGCCCCGTGGCATGAGCCACGAAGTTTCTATCGCACTGCACATGCACGCCCGCACGTGGTAGTTTGTGGAAGAGCCACACTCAAGGGGCCAGTTTGCCGACCACTGTCCTAATGGAACTCATTTTATGTCCCAGAATGCAGGTCCTGCGTGAAAACGTCCTCTTTAGGCACTCACATTAGAAACGATGGTAGGTTTGCATTGCCGTCTGGTAAAGGGATCCATCTGTTGGTTTTTCATGTTGTGACTTTCAGCCTGAAACAGAAAGCATGCATTACAGAACGGTGTCTCCTTTCCCCCCCTCTCATCATGAGCTCACATATAAGTAACAGTCTTTGCAAGGGCCTGAAAAAGTCAAAGCTGTCTATCCCTCTTTTCCCCTCAAGAATACCAAAGCAGACATGGGGACAACCACCTAAGGAACAAAACTGGAAACAGATAAATACCTGTGGAAGAATCTAAGGATGGGGAGGGGTAAGACATAGCAGAAGACTGCTGCTTTTCATTATAAATTAATATATAAACTGAATGGGTGTATGTATACATACGTACAGAGCACATATGTGTTAAGTGAACACATTATTGCAATAATTTAAAAAATAAACCCAAGTAAGATGTAGAGAGGATTTCATATCATTTTACTATCTGAAATTATGTTCAATGATCCAGATAAAGTTGTCTTACTCACCACAAGGGCCTTCTCAGACTCCACAATATTCCATTCCCGGTTCCGCTGGTTGATGTAACTAAGGGTGAAGAAGAGGAATGAGTCAGTGGGCTGTGAAGCGAGGAAGGGAACCACTGAGTTGACCTCAGAGAGGTGAGGAGCCAGTGCAGCACAGCGTGTACAAGGCCACAGGCTCACCTGATCACTGTGGCAAGGTTTGTGGACCAAGGATAGGAACCCAATCAAAACAGGCTCTGTAACACACCTAATAGCAGATATGTTCTTGGTCCGCTGGCGGTCCAGGGCCTCTGCCCGCTCCTCCAGCTCATTCAGCTGGTCTTGGATTTGTTTGGCCTTGTCCTGATCCCCCAGGTCCTCTGCCATGGCCTGCACAGGGAGAAAAGTGTGTGATTTTGGCTACAATTTGTATCACGTGTCACCTGACTTCCCGCACAGGCAAGCTACCTCACGATATGAACAAATGACAGGAGGTGTGAAATAACACTTAGAACTTATAGTAGTAACACGTTCCCATACAGCTACCTGGCTCTGGGCCTCTGCTAGTGTTAACGCCAGAACGCAGGCCCTATATGTCTCACTCACTACAACAAGGCTCCCCTATCCTGATATGAAGAATGGAAACCACCTACTGCAGCTGGGCGTGGCAAGACAATCCATCTGTTCAGACCTAGACTGATACTACCCTAGGGTCTATCTGATCACACACGAAACTGAAGTGATTAGAAAGTAAGACGAAAAGAACAAGCAAGATCAGTTTCAGTTTATAGAAAGGAAAATCCTGCCTCTGCTGACTCGCCAGGGTGAACAAGTCTGATTCTCACACAGCCTCAGAGGACAAGGAAAGAGGTCTGAGAGCAAGTCCTTACCTTTTCCTTTAGCAGCTGAGTCTTCTTCATGGCATAGTTAGGCGGAGCTTTCCTGAACCTTTCTTTCTCTTTTACAATCTGTACCAGAGAGGAGATACCAGCAGTGAGGTATTCCTAAACTATTTTTGGAGAGGCTAAGTGAGCCCATTTTGGAGGCAAGCAGCTAGTTAAAGGGGGGCTGCTCTTCCTACAGCAGTGTCATGCCCCAGAGAGAGCGAGTTCATTCCAAGGGGTACTATGCTGCTTCCGGGGTCACGGAGATTCTTCTGGGACAGTCTGAAGGAACATGCACCAATAAACAGCAGCAGCCCAGAGGCCTGGTACTGTAAGGCTAGCCACTGTCCAAGAGAACAGAGATCAAAGAATTTTACCAAAATATTTTGGAGGAAAAAAAACTCTTGAAGGACCAACCCTAGCAGAATACAGATCCCTGAATCCTGAATACACTTCTATAGTCTAGAACTTCAAATGAGAATGTATAGAAAATACTCTGATAAACTATAAATAATAAGAGAGCAGTATCAGCATTCCCTCATCCTCATGCAATAACAGCACAGCTAAAAACACCATGATGTAAGGAAGGGAGCCCTAGCCAGTTTGGCTCAGTGGCTAGAGCGTCGGCCTGCAGACTGAAGGGTCCCAGGTTGGATTCCGGTCAAAGGCATGTACCTCGGTTGCAGACTCCTCCCCAGCCCGGGCCCTCACTGGGGCCCCTGCAGGAGGCACCCAATTGATGTGTTTCTCTTACATCAATATCTCTGTCTCTCCCTCTCTCTTCCACGCTCTCTAAAAATCAATGGAAGATATCCTTGGGTGAGGATTAAAAAAAATGATGTAAGGAGGGAAAAGTCATGCTCTTCTCTAACACTGGTTCTTGATGAACCGCTAGGCTCTGAAGTATCAGTTTTCTTACCTCTTCAATGTCTTGATCATTAAATTTATAATTAAGAGCTTCTTTAATAGATAATTCCTTCTTATTGATTTCATCTAGAGTGGGCAACTGCATGCCAGCAGAAAACATCTGGACCAAAACATGATAAAAGGTTATATAATAAGTAATTTTGGAAAGGAACGCTGTAACCGTTTTCAGGAACAGCTAGGTGTTGTCTGCCCACTTACCGCTTCTTTCCACTTCATGAATTCGCTTTCAGTGAATTCTTGGTTTGAGACAAACTCTAGGCGGAATACCCGTTGGTCATTGCCATGCCTACATAAGAAAGAGACAGCATCTCCAAGAATATGTTGACAAGTACCAGCAAAGCAACCCTACCGGACTGTGTATCATCTATATCTGTGGTTCTCAATCCTGGCTACACTTTAGCATCATCAAGATTTATAAAAATTCTAGTGTCAAAGCACCTTTGTAGATAAACTGAATAAGAATCTCTGGGAGTAGGAACCAGGCACTGAAATTGACAAACAAACAAAGCCTCCCAGGTTGTTCTAATGTGCAGCCAAGAGTAAGAATCAGCCCAGCTGGCTGCCTCTGGCTGAGTGCTGACCTATGAACCAGGAGGTTTTTGGTTTGATTCCAAGTCAGGGCCCATGCCTGGGTTGCAGGCTTGATCACCAGTAGGGGGCATGCAGGAGGCAAATGATCAAGGATTCTCTCTCATCACTGATGTTTCCATCTCTCTCTCTCTCTCTCTCTCCCTCTCTGAAATCAATAAAAATTAAAAATAAATTTAAAAAAAGAAAGCTATGGACTTGGCCTGGTACTTCAAAAGTCCATTTATAATAAAATTTGTCACAGTCAATTGGCCTCCAGAATATGAGATACCATGGATATATTCCCTGGAGAGGAAGAACACTGTCTTTCTACTGACCCCTGTGCTGACAAAGTTAAGTGAATCAGTGCCATTCTCCTAGAGCAGTGGTTCTCAACCTTCTGGCCCTTTAAATACAGTTCCTCATGTTGTGACCCAACCATAAAATTATTTTTGTTGTTACTTCATAACTGTAATGTTGCTACTGTTATGAATCACAATGTAAATATCTGATGAACTGCTGTCCTAGAGACAGTCACTTGCTGCACATCATGGCCACTGCCCTCCCCAATTGGTTCTTTTCAAACAGAGCAATGGAGATAATGGGGATGGGAGAAGGAATGGGGAGGACTCGTAGAGAGCGAGTTAGGCCACGGCAGAGCAATGTCTGCTACCTGCCATTGGCAGTGGTCCTGGCAAACTGCTTCTATACCAATGTGGGGCTTTAGAATCTTCAGGAGCCAAGAGGGCCGGGATTTGTGTGTGTGTATTTTGTTGTCACTGCTATCCTGATACTCAGAACAATGGCACATAGCAGACATTCAGTAAGTATCATGTTACCGAAGAGGAAACTAAGTCCAGAAAGGTGACCTGACTTGTCAAAGATCAGGGTAGTTAGTGCCAGTGCCACGTCTAGAAAGCAAGCCTCCTGATCATGCTCAGGAAATGCTTGTTGGGCTCTGCGAGGAGGTGGTCTTACAACCTGACTTTTTACTTCTATATGTCCTACCACTTCGTATCTCTGATTTCCCCTAGGAGAGACATATATCCTACTTTCTCTCCAGGCAACAGCATAATAAAAGTCCCAGAAAACCATCACATTGGGAGAGAGTAACAGCCCACACAAGCAGTGCCTGTTTGCAATGGGAGCAGAAGTGGCCACACAGGAACACCCCTCCTACCGTAGCTGTAGCCCTTTGTTTGTTCTGGTGCCACCAAGCTGGTAAACCTTGGCGGTTTCCACAACACCCGTGATCTCAGCAACCTAAGAGAAAGGACAGAGACAATATTCAAAACAGAGTCAGCTCTCCACACAACTCTCTCTTTGGCTCTATCTACCTACCGACTGCAGACGAGTGACCCTGCACTGAGAGGAGTCCACAGCTGAAAGGTGTCCTGGGCACCTTTCTCAGGTTTAGAACTGATGGCCAAACACCAGGAGCCCATGTGCAGAGTAAGCGAGCACCAGGGGAGGAGGCAGTTAGCCTGTGGGGCTCCTGAGAAGCTTCCCCTCCAACTTAATCCTACCTATTGGGGGAGGTACTTGGAATTCCAGAGGTCAGTTTTATCAAATATAAAGATCATGGAGGTCAGTTCCCACTGCCAAGCTTTCCAGGGTAAGATATGGTAAGACCATACAACCCAGAACAAACGGGACTAGAAGAGTGACAGATTTATGCAGTATCTCTTAGAGAGTAATTATATTTAAAACATGGATAACTGTCCAAGGAAAGAAACACCAACCCGGTAAACTGGTTTGCTGTTGTGGTTTCCAATGCCAATCCGTACAAAACATCCTGTGACAGTTTTAGCAAAGAAGGGCATATGACACCAACGTTCCAGCTTATGCCGTGATAATCGAACCCGATTCAGTTCTTCGGGTAAGGACACTGGTTGTGATTTCGGAGGGATCTCTTCTTTCCTGTGAGGAACGAAGGGCACTGGGAAAAGTGTTCATCATAAAAACTGATCCAGATAAAACTTAACAAAGTCAAAGTACATGTGATGAAGGCAGTAGGAGAAATAAATGAACTGACAGGAAAGAGTGGTCACAGAATCCTGTTATTAACCAGTATTGTGAGCTGTGCTGATAAGGCTGCCACCTTCCCAGATCACCTATTAGAGTAAGAAGACAAATGGAAGCATCTGGCCATGGGGGTGACGTGATGTCAGTTCTACCTCCTGGGCCCAAATGAAAAGTCCAGGGCTTCAGGCCAAGAGCTATAGGCAGGAACATATGTCTGGGCTAATGTACAGGGAACTCAGCTCCACAATTCAGGGTCCTGGACCAAACAACATTCAGAGACCAAACAGGGAGATTGTGGAAACTACACTAAGCTTCTCCTCAAAGAACCCACCTGTCCCAACTACCAGACCAAAATGTACACAAGCTTACTCTTCTTCTTCATCAGAGGATGATGTTCGGGATGAGCGGTCTGTCTTTTCACTGGATTTGTCATCTTCCTCCTCCTCCTCATCGTCAGAGTATACCTCACTGGTTTTTAATGGCTGTTTTTTGGCGAGGAGCTCAGCTAAAAAGAAAGGGAAAATGTTTACTTAGCTTCTCTCAGTGAGAAACTGGAACATTCTTCATCTTTGAAAAAGAACTAACACATTGAAAATGACTTGATAGCTCCATCTGCTCGGAACTGGACTGTGATGATTTGGATACATGAAGAAGTGAGACCCTGGCCAGTCTGGCTCAATGGGTGGAACATCGGCCTGCAGACTGAAGGTCGCAGGTTCAAATACAGTCAAGGGCATGTACCTTGGTTGCAGGCTCGATCCCCAGCCCTAGTCAGAGGGGGTGCAGGAGGCAACCAGTTGATGTGTCTCTCTCACATCAGTGTTTTTCTCTCTGTGTCTCTCCCCATCCCTTCCATTTTCTTTTTTTTTTTTAATATATTTTTATTGATTTCAGAGAGGAAGGGAGAAGGATAGAGAGATAGAAACATCAATGATGAGAGCGAATCATTGATTGGCTGCCTCATGCACGTCCCCCACTGGGAATTGAGCCCACAATCCAGACATGTGCCCTTGGTCGGAATTGAACCTGGGACCCTTCAGTCCGCAGGCCAATGCTCTATCCACTGAGCCAAACCGGCTAGGGCCCTTCCATTTTCTTTAAAAAAAATCAATGGGAAAATATCCTTGGGTTAAGATTAACAAAACAGCCAAAACCGGTTTGGCTCAGTGGATAGAGCGTCGGCCTGCGGACTGAAGGGTCCCGGGTTCGATTCCGGTCAAGGGCATGTGCCTTGGTTGCGGGCACATCCCCAGTGGGGAGTGTGCGGGAGGCAGCTGATCGATGTTTCTCTCTCGTCGATGTTTCTAGCTCTCTGTCTCTCTCCCTTCCTCTCTGTAAAAAATCAATAAAATATATTAAAAAAAAAAAAGATTAACAAAACAAACAGGAAAACAAACAACAACAAAAAATGAAGTGAGTTAAACCCGAGTTAAATCATTTAAGCACTAAATGTCAAACCTCAGTAGACACAAAAAGGGCTGGAATACTGTTTCTAAGTGGGCAGAAAGGGTCACCAATTGTACCGACAATTGTTTTTCATTGCACTTAAGATACTTGACGATGGTCAGGAAAGATGGGGGGAAATTTTATGATGACTTCAGAGAATCTTTGAGTAAAACTTTAAATAGAAAGCAGCTACAGATAATTATGACACAAATGGGCATCACTGTATTCCAATAAATATTATTTACAAAAAGGTAGTTTATCAACTGCTGCTCGACATAAAATATAAGGAGTGATTTCTAGGATATATAGTAAAGTGAAAAAGCAAGGTAGAGAAAAGTGTGTATGGAGTGCTACCATTAATCTAAGACAGTAGGTGAATCTGTGTCCTTTTGTTTAGGGGGGGAAAAGGAAAGATAAAAAAATTTTTCTAAGTGGTTACCTTTTATGGGAAGAAGGAAAGGGGTGAAATAGAAAGGTATAGTGCTAAACTTTTCTGAATATACCTTATTTAGTAGATTTTACTTTGGAACCTTGTATTTTATAAAACAAAATAATAAAAAGTAATTTCTATACATCACAAGCAAAATGAATGAAGTAAAGTATTCATTTGATGACACAACCACACAAAAAGGAACTATAACAAGCGACTTTAAAATATAGCCAATAAAAAGATAGACATAGACCAATACAAAAGAAAGCCCAGAAGTAAATCCTTATATATATGGTCAAATAATTTTCAAGAAGGGTGTCAAGACCATTCAATGGGAAAACAACAGTCTTAAAAAAAATGGTGCTGGAAAAATTAGATATCCCACATGTAAAAACACCCCACAAACAAAGAAGTTGGACCCTTACAACTGTATACAAAAATTAACTTAAAATGGATCATAGACCTAAATATAAGAACTAAAACTATAAAATTCTTAAAAGAAACCTTTAGGGAAAAAGTTTCATGACACTGGATAACAATTTCTTGGATATGACAACAAAAGCAGAGGCAACAAAAGAAAAATATTAAGTTAAAAATTATACTTCCATCAAAATTAAAAGCTTCCATGAATCAAACAACACTATCAAAAGCAAAAAGACCATCCTGGCCAGTTGCTCAGTGGTTAGTGTGTTGGCCTGTGGAGGGAAGGGTTGTGGGTTCGATTCCTGGTGAAGGGCACATATCTCAGTTACAGATTCCCTGGCCCCTGTAGGGGCAAGTGCAGGAGGCAGCCAATTGATGTGTCCCTCTCATGTTTCTCTCTCTTTCTCTCCCCCTCCTCTCTAAAAATTAATGGAAAACATATCTTTTTTGTGTGTGTGAGGATTAACAGCAACAAAAAAAAGACCAAATGGGGAAGACATATGTGAAAATCATACACAGTGGAACCTCGGTTCTTGAACTTAATTCTGGAAGGCTGTTCAAGAAGCCATTTGTGGAAAACAGAATCATTTTTTCCAATTATAAATAATATAAATTAAATTAATCCATTCCAGACCCCCAAATGATTCCCTATTTTAACCTTTCTTATATACAGTACATGTCTAATGTATTGTTTAATCTATAAACACTTTTAAAATTAATTTTACTGAACCACTCCCTACTAGTCTTAAATGAATCACTTTTAGTGTTCAATCCAGGGATGTCTTTCAGGTCAGCAAGCAGCATCATTGCTTGTTCATATATTGCTGCCTCTGAAATAGCTGTCACTGCCTAATTGCTTTTCGTTTCTCCAAATCAGCAAGTTTTTCTACCTCTTTCATTGTCTGTGATCATTGTTTCTTTCACACACTTAGCAACATTAGCACTCTTTTTTCTTTAAAATTTTTTTTAACAGAATGATTCTGTTGATTTTTAAAAAAATATATTTTTATTGATTTCAGAGAGGAAGAGAGAGGGAGAGATAGAAACATCAATGATGAGAACGAATCATTGATCAGCTACCTCCTGCATGGGGACTGAGTCACAACTTGGGCATATACCCTGACTGGGGATATAACCTTGACCCCTGTTTCATAGGTCAATGCTCAACCACTGAGCCACACCAGCTGGGCAACATTAGCACTCTTGATGGCCTTTTTATGTTTTAAAATTGTGATAATCCTTGATATTGATTTCACCAGCAACAAAAGCATTATCTCTGATGCCTGAGAAACACTTTTTGTCATTCTCAGGTATCAGCTTCAAAGGGTTGTCAGTTTGGAAACAAATTGGTTGACAACCGAATTGTTCGAGAAACAAGGTTTGGCTGTATTTAATAAGGGATTAATAGTCAAAAAATATAAAAAACACCTATAACTCAACAACAACAAAGAAGTTGATTAAAAAATGAGCAAAAGGGGAGAAACTAAGATGGCGGCATAGGTAAACACCGGGAAATTGTCGCCTCACACAACAATTGAAAATTACCGCAAAGGACCGAGCAAACATCATCCAGAACAACAGAAAGGCTGGCTGAGTGTAAATTCTACAACTAGAAGGAAAGAAAAGCACGCTGAGAGCCAGAGGCGCTGCGGAGGTGAAGTGCAGAGGTACGGCGGCTCGCGCTCGCGAGGGAAGGGGGTGGCACCTGGGGACGCGGCTGTCTTTTTGAATCACAAGCTCCCGACTGCTCTGAACTCCGGTTCCGGGAAGTCTCTGGGGACCCAGGACTCATACGGGGAGAAGCTGGTCTGTCCGGCAGCGGGCGAACTTGAAGGCGGCTTTCCCTCAGAGGTGCTTGCAGCAATTAGCGGGTCACTGAGACCCGCGACTCCGGGCGGAGAATCAGCCATAGCTCCTTGATCCGCCCTTGGATTCCCTGAGACCCCGCCCCACCCAGGCTGCGGCAGAGGCTTTTGCATGTGAATGTACCTAACTGCAGCCGAGCCAGGCAGACTCGGAACTTCCAAGAGAAGGCCCAAGGCCCCGCAGCGGCTTGCATTGCTTCACAGCTGAGCCTCTTCGTGGCTCCTGCTGTGTGGCCTCAGGCAGAGGCTGAATTAGCACCTCCTTAGATCCAGGAGCCACTGTACCCAGTGGTCAGAGGGGGACCATCCAGACTGCAACTCCTCAGATCCATAAGGGACACACTCAGGGAGCAGACTCAGTGAGCACCAAAGCCCCACTGAAGCAAGTCTTGCCCCAGAAGGGTGTCTTCAGCACAGAAGTTCTCCCACTTTAGACACAGCTGATTCTCACAGCCAATTGGCCTGGAGGTCAATTCCTCCCAGTGATTCTACAACAACCAAGGCACCAAGAGTGCACCAAGAGTGTCCACCCCAGGTAACTGGGGAGGCTGAACTACTGGGCCCTACAGGACACCTGGCGCGCAGGGCCACTCTATCAACACAGGGAAGCTGCCAAAATGCGGAGACAAAGAAACAGGTCACAAATGGCAGAAATGGAGGAAAGCAAACGATTGGATATAGAGTTCAAGGCCACGTTTATAAGGTTTTTCAAGAATTTTATGGAAACCGCCGATAAATTTAATGAATCCCTCAATAAGTATAGTGAGACCATGGAGGACATGAAAAAGGACCAACTAGAAATTAAGCATACACTGACTGAAATAAAGAATAATTTACAGAGATCCAGCAGCAGACAAGAGGATCCCAAGAATCAAGTCAAAGATTTGAAATACAAAGAAACAAAAAATACCCAACCGAAAAAGAAAAAAGAAAAGAGATTCCAAAAATATGAAGATAGTGTAAGGAATCTCTGGGACAACTTCAAGCGTACCAACATCAGAATTATAGGGGTTCCAGAAGGAGAGAGAGGGCAAGATATTGAAAACCTTTTTGAAGAAATAATGACAGAAAACTTCCCCTACCTGGTGAAAGAAATGGACTTACAAGTCCAGGAAGCGCAGAGAACCCCAAACAAAAGGAATCCAAAGAGGACCACACCAAGACACATCATAATTAAAATGCCAAGAGCAAAAGATAAAGAGAGAATCTTAAAAGCAGCAAGAGAAAGACAGTCAGTTACCTACAAGGGAGTACCCATACGACTGTCAGCTGATTTCTCAACAGAAACCATGCAGGCCAGAAGAGACTGGCAAGAAATATTCAAAGTGATGAATAGCAAGA